TGACCGGCTATGCTCTAGATTCCTCTTTCATGGCTCCTCCATTGAAAAGAAACTTCATTTAATCTCCTGGAAGAAAACTTGTCTCCCAACTGAGTTTGGTGGGCTTGGGATACCTGACATACAGTCTCTTTCCTTTGGTTTTACCTGTTCTTTCATTTGGAGATTTTACTCTCATAATTCTCAGGAATCTTATGAGCAAAAAGAACAAGGCAATACACTTGCAAAAAGTATCGACTACAAAACAAAATGTTGTAATGCAAGATGTAGAAATACTATAATAAAATGTGGAATTGAAAATGAAAGGGAAATTTCCAATTAAAAATAACATGTAAGGAGTGAGACGAACTCCACAAAAATGGAAAGATATTACCCTAAGCATTAAGATAACACCTACATATATCACTCGGATGTAGCATAGAGAAAGAATAGGCCCAGAGAATAATTCATCCGAAAAAGAAGCCTTACACATCACACGGGTATAACATATACCCGATATAGCAACAAGCCAATAAAGAGCTCAGAAAGCCTCAAATTTCACTAATATGTGTAAGCAATTAACGTAATGAGAAGGCAGTATATATAGACCTACAATCATCCAATACATACAGTTCATTCTGGTATAAAAGCAGCTCCACAATGGAGTTAATTAAAATAGCAAAAAAACACCAAATAACCCCAAACTAGCCCATCATGCCCTCCCAACAAACAACAGTAATCAATGGCAGCGGATCAGCCGAAGAGGAAGGACCCGCAAGCAACTCCAGGGAGATGTTAGAGAGAAAGCAAGGAAATATAAAGAGCCAAAAACTCCCATATCAATACAAAAAAGTCTCAAAACCGATAAAGAATGCAATAAATCATTGGTTTGAATAATAGAAGTGAGCAAAAACCACGAATCATACAAGCAGCTCCAGGGAGAGCTGCAATCATACTGGCTCATCAATGTAGTAACCGACTTGTCTTACATATAGTTACCCATCGAGTTAAGAAAATCTGGATAATCATAACTAAGCACCTACTTCTCAAACCCAGACCACCTCTAGAACTTAATATGGAAGCAAACTTTATAGAAATAATTAAAAAGGCCAACGGTAATACGACCCTTCCACAAGATCCACATCAACAGACGGAAGGCATATATCAAGCTTGTCACCATCTTGTAGACTTAGAACATAATGCATTTTAGGCTGTGAAAGAGTTAAACTTTAATCTTAAGGAAGAAGTAAAAAAAAAAAAAGGCAAATACAGTCGAATGAGTTAAAGGAATTCAAAATTAAAGCTTATGAAAATGCTAATATTTACGAAGAGAAAATTTTAAAATAGCATGACTATAAGCTTATTAAGAAAGAATTTACTCTTTGGACAAGAGTAAATTCTCTTCGTAAATATTGTAGGTAAACTTAGGTCTAGAATGTTAGGCCCATTAACTGATAGTAAAATATTACCTTACAGAGTGGAAGAAGTTCAGGATAAAAAGACCTTTCAAGTTTTAAGGTAAATGGTCATAGGTTGAAGCCTTATTTAAAAAGAGACATTGATCGTATTCTAAATATCACCAAATTGGCTCACCCTTAAGAGAAGTAATTTGCATAATCTGACTGAAAACTGAAAACTTAATGCTGATGAGTGCATACCCAAATTTGTTTTGTGTTTGATTTTTTTTCAGTTATTTAGTTATTTTCTTTTTATGTGTCATGTTATTTTCATTTTGTAATAGTCTTTAGTTATTTTTGTTTATATTATTTTTTTCTATCATTTATGTTTAATTAAACATCCCACACATGCTTAAATGTTAAAAATTATTCCCTACATAGAGCTTGCACATTGGTTATTTATTTTGCTAAAATTAAAATATTAATTAAAATTTATTTAATAATTAAGAATAATAATAAACTTTAGGTAATAATTTGAATGAACATAGCACTTTAGTTTAAAATTTTAAAATCATAATGATTAACTAAGAAAATTTATAAAAGTGATTATCTTATTTGAACTTAAAAGTTATACACTTAAACACTTACTACTTAATTGAAGTATGAGTAATTGAGTTAGGAGAAAGGGAGAGTGTAGATTAAATTTATGAAGATCATTGTAAACCTAACTATGAAATTAGCAATCTTATTAAATTCTTACATTAATTTATTTAGGATTGTTGGAGGGATAAAGAAAAAATTGATATTCAAAATTATTAATTTGTACTCCATATATGATAAAATGTGAAAAATATGATAAATTAAAAGAAAACTTTGAACAAAAAAGTGAGTACATTCAAAAATTAGTATCTACTGAAGCTCAATTCTAAAAGGAATCATAATACTTAAATGAAATAGGATAAGATATGTGAACTAATACATATGATGTCAAACTAATGAACTTCTAGCTAGAACTACAAGCACAAAACTAATATCTAAATGATATATTATTCATATATTACATTAGAAGTAAAAACCTGCACCTGCATTTATTGTGGATAAGCTCAATTCGAGCAATAACAAGAAGATTGATTAGGTTAATTATTTATTATTATTCATATTAACATTCAAACATTGACAATTCCAAATTACATCTAAATAGTGAAGTGTGTTCTTATATTTTAATAATTTCAAATTACCAATTTTTATTTGGGCTAATGATTAACTACTCAATAGGCGCAATTACACTATTGTTTAAGGACAAACAAGAGTTTAAGCGGGGAAAATTTTATTAAGTGAAAATTTTGTACTATTTTATTATCTTAAAAATCAATGAAAATGTGGTATTTTAGTTGATGTTGAATAAAATATTTAGAAAAAAATGAAGAAAAATTCACAAGTGTTGAACTAGAACTGCAGCACTCTAATCACTAGTGTTGTAGCATCTACAATGCCTTGGTGCCATATTCCAAAATCACAATGCCAACACCTCAGGAAAAAATGGCAAATATTTTAGTGCCCCGATAGAGCCAAGTTCAACATTGTAATGTCAAAAAATTAGCGCTATAGCACCTGAGTCTCAGAGATTTTAGCATTAGTACCAAGCATTCTAACACTATAGCACAAAATTGCACATTCAAGTGTTGCAGCAATCAAATTTTATAACGCTATGATGAAGTAGTTGATGAAAGGCAGAGCCACATTGAATTAGCAGAGTGACATATTAGTGATGCTAATAGACGCGCCGAGTCAGTGCAACACTGAGGCACTAGTTCATCTAATAACGTCGTAGCGCCGTCATGTCAAGCGTCATAATGCTAGAGCTCATTTCAACACTAGACCTTTTATCGACGAACCGACATAATTAATATTCATTTTATGAATATATCAATTTTGAATTGACATGGACTTGAGTGCTATAAAAAATAAAGAGAACTAAGAAATGCCTTAAATATTTTGTATAATAGACCATTTTTAAAAATAATTTGTACAATATACCATTTTAAAAATTTCTCAATATAATTTCAACTTTTTTTTTTTAAATTTCAACTTCTTTTGCAGTATTGAAATACGGTATTTGCTTGGTATTGCTAGGTATTTGCTCGGTATTGGTTATTACCGAGCAAATCGACCAATACCTAGCAATACCCAGCAATCTTGGGTTCGTTCCGGGTCGGGTTGTAGGGGCGCACGGTAAATAATGAAAACGCATGACACGATTCTACTAGCGGCCGAACGTAGAGCTACGTCCTATGACTGGACCAAATAAAAATTCCACCGATAGAGCCAAGTTCAGCACTATAATGTCAAAAATTAGCACTATAGCACATGAGTCTCAGAGATTTTAGCATTAGAGTGCCAAGCATTCTAACACTATAGCACAAAATTGGACATTCAAGCGTTGCAACACTCAAATTTTATAGCGCTATGATGAAGTAGTTAATGAAAGGCAGAGCCACATTGACGCCGAGTCAGTGTAACACTGAGGCACTAGTTCATCTTATAACGTCGTAGCGTCGTCATGTCAAGCGTCATAATGCTAGAGCCCATTTCAACACTAGACCTTTTATCGACGAACCGACATAATTAATATTCATTTTATGAATATATTAATTTTGAATTGACATGGACTTGAGTGCTATAAAAAATAAAGAGAACTAAGAAATGCCTTAAATATTTTGTATAATAGACCATTTTTAAAAATAATTTGTACAATATACCATTTTAAAAATTTCTCAATATAATTTCAACTTCTTTTGCAGTATTGAATATTCTAAAATATATATTTTTAAACGTAAAATAAAGAAATTGATCTAATTAAAAGTATTGCTTGCAAAATTGTCGTTGAAATTTAAGTTAGAATTGATACAAAATTAAAAAGAATCTTCATTATGGAATTTTAATTGAATTTGAAAAACTATTTAAGAGTATTGATACATTTTATTAACAGTATACGAATTTGGAGCAAAAATTTTCCTCATCCATAAAACTGTCAAAACTCTATACAAAATTTTCCTTTTCAACCAACAAAATTGGCTAAAGGAATGTTTTGTTCGAAATAAAGTAGATGTCAATTATTTCAAATATAAGTGTATTAAAAACATTAATCTTTATTTGGATGAAAAAGAAAAGTAAAGCAAATATAATATAAATTATTTTAATTCACTTTCGAGATAAATTAAATGTCTGATTTTGAGCAAAAATTATTGACATAACAAAATTTCTTGACCACCACCAGCATCCATCGTTGGCCGCCGCCACCCGCATACGGCCACCATTGCTAGTAGCCGCCCACCGGCCGCAAACTACCACTACCGTCACCCATCGCCAACCACCATCACCTATCCGCCACCACTAGCATCATCACCAATTTCCACTATCTTTAGACATTATACTATATTCATTTCACTTCAAATCAAACAAAAAATATTCACCTATATTTACTTTAAATTCATCAAAATAATTCCAAAATATTTCTTTTGCACTGTATTTATTTTAGCCAACCAAACAGTCCTAAAGTGAAAAAGAAAATAATAATGAATTTTGAATCAATTTCAAGCAAAAGCAACAAATAGAAATCATCAAATTGAAAAAATTTAAGCATAAAAATTATGAAACAGAATTGATCGCAAGGACTTGGAAACGTGATCAATAGCAATTCAGAAATCGTTAAACTGGAAAACAGTTTAGTCTGAACATGCAACTAAAGAAAAGCTCCCTACAAAACTGAAACTTAAACCACCTTTAAGAGCTCAGAAGCTTTCATTTAATCAGTCTCATCAATAACCTTTGTTCCCAACCCTTTGAGACCCTCTGGAGGGATCTCAGTAACTGTCACGAGGGAATAGAACTCTTCCTTGGCATCCTCCTCTTCATTTCTTTTACGACCAATTCTCACACGAACCCGTCTTGGAACACTTCGGATTCCCCTACTCCAGATCAGCTTATTAACTTTAACATCGATCCTCACGTCTGTCGTTCCCATAGCCTTTTGAGCAAACTTTCTGATCTCTTTTATGGCCTTGGGGGCTTTCTTCTTGAATGTGCTGCACAACAACAAACGAGATTAAAACTCTCTGGCTGTGTCGGCTTGCACCAGATATATCTTGTTTAGATTGAAGAACTGAGAACTAACAAGTTTGAATTTGAGACAAAACAAACAGTGAAATTTACAACACAAGTCTATGATGTACCGACAATATGCAATAATGAGGTGTATTGTGTTTCCATATACAGGATACATGCACTTGCCAGCACGTGCAAAGCATATCATCTACATGTCCAAATTAAAAAAAAAAGGACACAGGAAGAGTGTTTGTGTCTAATGTATAATCATACACTATATTTTTCAATAATATATGTATTCATATCCATGTATTATTTTGTGCTCACAACAGTGCATCATAGATTCAACTCCAACTAACATTTGATTATTAAGAACTGAAATATTGGACATTGTAAAACTTTTAATTCAATGGCTTTGGTAGAAGAATGCAAGTATGTCTTGACAATCCAAATAAATATTTTGCATTTCTCACTTTATAATCACTAAGTATTCATCAATAATAAATCATAAATAGACCAATTTGTATGATCCTGATGAATATTTAAGCTAACCGTATAGAATGACAAGCTTATTGTTCTAAAAGAGATGTAATTAGTAGCAAATAGAAGCATTATAGAAATGAGATTTCCAACTAAAATTCAATCTACAGTGGATTTTCTCTTAGAAATTGGCATACTACCTTCTCTTTGCACATCAACATTTCCAAACTTTAAGTTCATTAAACTTAGGCGCCCATCAAAACTCCTAAAAAATATATGCAATCTCAACTTGGTTGCAGTTATTCCAAATGGTTTTTATTGATGCTGCAGCATATTAGGCTTCTAATGTCTTTTGTTGATGCTACAGCATATTCTTACAAATAAAAATTCGCTTAGGCATCCAATAAGACGTTAAAGTATTCAATAGTTGCGTCAAAGATTGCCTATTACACCAGCTAAGAAAGTTTTTTTTTTTTTTTCTTTTTTCAGTCACATGCTTACGAGAATGAATGGAACATATGTGATCTATGAAATATTTATCATAACTACTAAATCCAAGTCAGGTGAAGCAACAATTGTTAGAAACCAGTGGAAACCTATCATGCAGGAGGGAGAGGTGCCGGGCAAGAGATTTGAGATCATTTAGATTGACTGAGAACCTATCATAAGGAGATTGAGATCGAGAGAACAACTCTCAAATTTATTTAAAAAAAAAGAACCTAGAGAGCAATAACTGGCATACATGATCAAGAACACAATGGCTCATGTTCAGAGGATTCACAGAAGAGTACACCATAAATCTTTCAAACCAGCATACTCGATATGCTCGCACAGATCAAAAGGTTTTGAATTCCTTTCCCTTATAACCCATTATTTTCTTAATGATTTTGAAACATTCTCTGCTCAACTCTTTTATGCTTAAGCAAAGTTAAAAAAAACAGAATAACAACTGTATACCATAGTCTAACAACAACGGAAATGCTAAAAGGCTTGCAATACCATTGTCTTCGCAGTCTCCAGCACACGCTAGAAACTGGCAGTAATAGTGCAAATCAAGTACAATGTGTTATAACTATTGGCCTAGAAGGGCACCTATTCTTTCTGGATTGCATGCACTTCAATTATGGGGTTTAGCATTCGTCTTTTAATTAGATAATTTTGCTATTATCAAACTTATCTTTTTTTTCCCCGGTTATGAGAAGATATGATGCCAAAATGTATCATGGAAACATAGGATGCTGGTAGATAGGTTTAAGCTTTAGGCTGTATTTGGCCAATATATTGAAGCCATGTTTCAAGGTCATCAATTACTTTTGTTTTATCAGTTTCCAAATTTCATTTGGTATGACTTTTGTTTTATGAAATAATTAATAATCTGGGAATCAAATCTAGTAGTTGATCAAATAAATTGTATATGATCACAATTGGGTATCATATTGGAAAGATTGATGAGATTGTGTTAGTTAAAACTTTAATAGTTCTATTTTTTTATGGAAGTTTTCAACAATGAAGATTTTCAAATCACACAGTTCAGATCGAGACGAATGCCGTAAGATCAAATGTGCAATCTGATCATCAGTCTAACATCACATGAAGGAAATCAAGGCCATGAAGCTTAAACTATTGGATCTGATTTCAGATTACAACAAAATAATGATATATATTTGAATTTTTTTTATTGTTGTATATGTTTATATATATGATGCAAAGATTTTAATTTTTAATGATTCATATAATATATTATATACTAATGAGGGTGAAAGATATATGTATAAGTTAGCCAAATAAAGAGATAAGAATAATAAGGATTTGGTTCAAGCAAAGTGTATTAAGGATGGAGATCAAAAAGTGTTTATATTAAAAGAGGATATTCAACAAAGGTGGATGAGATATTTTGCTAAACTTTCAATGAGGATTGTGAAAATGCGATTGACTTTAGTGACCTAAGCACCCTAAATGAAAATAAAGATTTTGATTTTATCGACGTATTAGTAAAGCAAAAGTTAGATAGGCTTTAAAGAAAATGAAGCATAGAAAAGCTGTTAGACCTTATGATATTACAATAGAGGTGTGGAAATGCTTAGGAGATGAAGGAATTTATTGGCTTACTAAACTTTTTAAAAGTATTTTGAAGACTAAAAAGATGTCAGTTGAGTGGAGAATGAGTATGTTGATTCCTATTTTTAAGAAAAAAAGTCATAACAAGATTGTGTGAATTATAGAGTAATTAAATAATTGCGGCATACTTTAAAACTATGAGAGAGAGTTATGGAGCATAGGTGGCAGCGTGATTCTAATGTTTCTCAAAACAATTAGGATTCATGTCGAGTGGGTCTACTATGGAAGTTATACATTTATTGAGAGAATGAATGGAGAAGTACATAGAGAATAAGGAGATCTATATATGATATTTATTGATTTAGAGAAAGCATATAATAAAGTTCCAAGAGAAGTGCTTTGGAGCGTTCTAGAAAAGAAAAGGGGTTAATAATGCTTATATTTAAGTCATTAAGGTTATGTATGCAGGAGTTGTTACTTGTGTTCAAACACAATGGTTTGACCAAGTATTTTCCTATTTCAATTGGATTACATCAAGGACCAGCCTTAAGCCCATATCATTTTGCTGTACTCATGGATGTTCTCACAAGACATTTGCAAGAGGTACCTTGGTGTATGCTTTTTACTGATGATATTCTTCTTATTGATAAGACTAGAAAGGGAGTTGAAGGTAAATTTGAATTAAGGAGGTCAATCTTAGAGTCTAAAGGCTTTCGTTTGAGTTGATCTAAAACTAAATATATGGAATGTAATTTTAGTAATAATAGATCTAGTGGAGGGATTGAAACGTTGGGAGATCAGGTCATTAATAAGAGTACACGTTTAGATATCTTGGGTTTATTGTTCAGATTGATGATGAAATGGATGGGATATTATTAGTAGAATTCAAGTTAGATGGTTGAAGTGGAGGAATGCATCAGCCTTGTAGTGTGATAGAAAAGTCCCTCTCAAACTTAAGGGAAAATTCTATAAAATGGTGGTGAGACTTGCAATGTTTTATGGTGTAAAATGTTGGTAAAATGTTGGCCATTAAAAGAGAAGCATAATATTAAGTTAAGTGTTACAGACATGAGGATGCTTAGGTGGATGAGTGGCTTTACTCTTAGAGATAGGATACAGAATGAGCATATACGTGAAAAGGCTGAAGTAGCTCCAATGGAAGATAAATTTAGATAGTCGCCTTAGATGGTTTGGTCACATAAAACGTCGGTCTTCCGATGACCATGTTAGGAAAGTAGATGTATTAGATTTGACTTATGTTAAAAAAGATAGAGGTAGACCAAAAAAGACTTGGTTAGAAAATATTAGAAATGACCATTATTAGATTTAAATGAGAAGTTGACTCTTAACATGACACAATGGAGAAAAAGGATTCATGTAACGGACCGCCCATAGTGGGATAAAGGCTTGATGTTGTTGTTATTGTTAGATATGTTTATAGTTAAATTCAAATACAATTTAGATCATTTCTACAGGAATTATTGTTAGTTGAACTTTTCTAACAGGGTTCCATTTTTTGTGAATTTTATTTAGGAGTGGATGGTATTTTTACCTGCAGGACTTGTCTATAAATAGGCTTGAAATTCTGCAAAAGCATAAATCTGAATACTTACCAAATTCGTTTTCCCTTATTCTACAGTCACTGTCTCTCAGTTTCCTACCCTGTTGCAATTGTAAACATTGTAAAGATGAGTTCTATAGCTACTGTCGAAGAGAAAAAGCACCTCTACCGCTGATCTACTTCTTACTGCTATATGCTTCGTTATTGGTTGTTACTACCTGTTTTTTGTCATTGTCTCACTCCGTTGTACTGTTGTTTTCTGATTCCATAATGAAGTCAGATAAAATAAGGGGAAAGAATTGAAGAGTTATTGAAAGAAAACTGCGAGGAAGTGCTGCCACAGTAGGTTGGGAATCAAAACAAGAGAGAGAAAGCTAACTATATTGAGAAAAGTAAATTGGAAAAGAAGCTAGGGATCAAGTTGACATTCAAGCATCATTCTCTTAATGCATGGTAAGAGCACAGAATGAATATAAAGATAAGTTTTGCTTCACGCATTTAAATGCATCAAAAGTCAAGAATGAGATTAGAAAAAACATAAGTATGATAATCAATGGCTAATAATGATTCTACACCAAATCTAACTAATCAAGTGGCTAGACTAATGAACAGGTAGCCACCATAAAGTGGATGAATATTCAAACAACTATAAATGCGATAGTTGCAATCCTCCTCCCATGATAGATGCAAACATTGCTGGAAGATAAGATAATGAGGATGTGGACCACTCATGATGGAATAACGCAGTCATTCAAAGTGAAAGTCAACGTAATGATACTGTTGCTGCTAAGATGCATGAAGCTTGAATCGACCAAATAAAAACTTATTTGCCTGACTAAAGTTAAGTAATAATGGCTTGGCATAGCGGAGTGCCTATCTTAG